TGTTGTTTGTTGTTGTTGTTGTTGATGATGATGATGATGATGATTATGATGTGATTTGCCTTTGTAGTCCTTAATGGGGCTCCGGCATGCAGGCCCTGAGCAAAGAAAGCTCGGATGACTCCTTCGTCAAAAACCTGAGATCCATTCTCAACAAGCTCACGGCTGCTGCCTTGATTTCTCGAGAGCTCTTCCAAGCGCCGTGTAGCTGTTTCCGAGCTTGGAGGTGGAGAAGTTCGATACCTTGCCTGAAACCGAGGAGCCCTTCAGATTTCTGGCTGTGTGTTGTGGAGATCTTCTATTCTGCTATCCATTTGCCGCGCGATAAGGTCGGATCAAATCATCGAATTGGTTTCGGAGTCGGACCGTCCAAACCGTGGAATTCCATTGCTTATGCAAATGGTCTTTGAGAAGGCAGTCTTAAACGACACAGAAAGCGACCATGAGAATCGTCAGCCTTGAAGGCCACCACCCAGCACCACTTCATCAACATGTACCTGGCCCTGAGCAGCCACTTGAAGTGCATGAATGGACGAGCTTGCTGTTTCTTGAAGGTATGTGGGCTTGTGTGTCAAGCTGCACAAGTGGCTTACGGAAAATGATCACTTCGACGGTGCTGAGCCGGAAGCCGAAAGCGAACCGAAGGCAGTGGCACGAGAGCGCACAGGATTTCGGCCAGAGGTCGCAAAGCAACTTCAAGCGCGTGCTCCTGAATCAATGCCAATCTTCCTTCGAGCAGTGCCCCCCGTGGCTCCCTGCATCCCCTGCCCTGTGACCTGAGTCTTTGCTTCGAGGCCTGGTGCTAGTGCTGCAGTGGCTGCAGATAGTGGCGCAGGTATTTGGAGCCTCCCGAGGGCTTTGATGGTCTGACAGGGGATGAGCTTTACGAGGCTCAGGCCAGGCCATCGAGGCCAAGTCTAAGTCGAGCAGCGCACCGAGTCCGAGCTCGATAGGTCAAGTACAAGACGAAGATGCTGGGAAACATCCGGCTAGTTGGTGAGCTCATTCGCCACGGGATGTCACCAACTCAGAACGCGTCTTCTTCCTGCCGAAAGTGCTCCACGGCCTGATGGCTCCTCTGCGCCTGAGGCTTGCGCCAAAGATCGCCATCGCCGTGGCATCAGAGCTTGCTAGTGGATGCCCAAAGGATTCTGCCGGAAGATCCTGGAAGAGTCACAGCCCTGGAACTAAGGAGATGATCCTGCAGTGCGCAGCGAGCGCCTGGAAACTCTAGCAACCTTCTTGGCGGGCACCTCGAGCTTTGTGATAGATCTTGGTTTAGATGGCTGCAATTTCTGCAACTCTCAGGAGACGGTGGGTGTTGCCCTTGATGACCCAAGTAGTGCCTGCTTGTACTTACAGCTCAGAGGGTGGCGCTCGGGCCGCTTAGTCTTGCCAGGTTGGAAGCATCACCACGAGCTCGAGTTGGTTTTTGAGCAGGCCCTTTCTCTGAGCAAATCGTGTCTGTTGCAGGCAGTGGCACCGCGACATGTCTCCCAACCCGTTGTATTGTGGCAGCGCGGAGAAGCCTCACGAACATGAATCTTTTAGAAGCAGAGAGGAATACAGGTACCGTAGCAGAGCCCGTTCGGTTTCTTGACGTCTGTGGTCATTTTCGTGCTCTTCCCTGTGCTTGGACGACCTAACCCACGGTTCGACATCCATCCAGTGCCTGCACACAATAAAGCTCGAAGCTAATCGCAGCTTTGGTGCACCCCGGTGGGAATCCTTCGCTAGGCATTTATCGTCGGGAGTCACACTCCGATCCGATGAAGAACAAAGCCATAGCAACAAAAGTAGCCTGAGAGGCCATGACAATCCAGCTTGCCGTCCGGCGACTGAAAAAATCCGCCACAGTTTCTTCTTGCAGGCACTAGCCTTCGTCCAAGGCCATAGGCCTCCTATGGTAGAGCCAGTCTCCGGGAGAACGCAACATCAAAGGCTCCCAAGGCATCATTGAACCTTCTGATTCGACTGGGTCTGTCTTCGAGTTCTTAAATGTGGAACTTGACCACACTGTCATGGAAGCACTGCCTCGGCACATCGCCTCGGATGTAATCTATGAAGTCTATCTACCATACCCACCCGATGCACGGCAAGGTGGCCGAAGTAGCAGCAGGCACCACGCACGGTTGTCCCCTCGCGGTTTTCTGGATTATTCTTGAAAATGTAAACAGTGTAGCTACCAACACCTGGCACGAATTATGCCCTACATCTAAGCACAACCACACCGCAGCTACGGGGCATCCTCAGTACACTAGAAGCAGCCGGCACCACTGGATTGAGACTTGAGCAACGGTGGAGCCGTGTGGTCGTGGTATGGGACCGCTCTGGTTCATGGCTCTTCCACAAACAGCCTTTGGGCCGTACCTCTTCTTGTTCATTCCTTCGGAGATGGATAAAGCAAAACTTCTGACCTGCTGGGCAGTGTGATCGAAGAATCCCAGGCGTGGCTAAAGGTACCAAAAAGCTGTTCTTCGTCTTGTTTCGCACAAGAGTTTGGAGAGATCCGCTGGGACCCGGGCCTGCTGCCTTGATGGATGTTGCCGTATGGGAACGACCTTGGGTTCTTCTACAGAGAAGTCCCCATGATCGTGACGTGCAGCGAGCTGCGGTTGACCTTCGTGGCGTTTAATTGTGTGATGGGGCATGTTCGGTTGCCCACTGTATCGTTTGAAGTTGGTTCCGAAAGACCTTGTGTGCCGCATGAAAGAGACAACGCGGCGTCCTCTGCTGAGGGACATCGCCAGGTTATTCGGGCCTGTTCCGACCAGACAGTGCCTCGACGCGTTCGCTGCCTGCTCCAGGCGCTCTCGTTTCTGCGTGTGCGGGTGTGCGGCTTTGTCATGAGAGTCGCATATGTCGAGGACGTGCTTGACCTGCGAAACGGCGGATGGAAGTCGAAACGGTGCGGGTCTGAAAGCAGTAGAGAGTTGGAACTATTTCGAGGTGCACGACATCCAGACAGAATCCTCTGATTGCCGACGACAGACAGCCGCAGGCGGAAAGACCTCAGCAAGGAAACACCGCAGACGCTTGCGCAAGTTCATGAGAAGGCGGCCGTGTTACCAAATCAGATTGAGGGACATGATGGATATGCAGACACAGGCGAAAGCAGACCAATCCACTAGACGGGATACTGGCAAAAGCTTGTGTCCGACTCGGGGTCCGCCGTCGGGCGCAGTGATTTTGACGGATGCGAGCAAATGCGCCCTTTGAGGCCCTGCAGAGCAGAGGCTGAAGCCTGCCATGTCCGCCCCCCCCTCGTTTCGTTGTGTGGAAAATGCGACAGGTCGCGTCTTCTCCATCTTGGAGCATCAGGACACGCCGAACATTTGGGAGTTCGGATTTGTCGGCACACATGACAGGGATCTTGGAAGACAGCTGTGACTTTGCCACGCATCCTTTTGCTCCGCGCTCAGACAGTACAAAGTCTACTCGAGTCCGTCTCAGTAGCAACAGCACAGATGTGTAATGCCTTGCAGCCGTGATTTTCTGTGCAATACCGTGCATGTGCAGGTTAGAGTCTTTGGCAGGGCTGGCCCTTGCCGAAACATGTTAATGAAGAGCAGCATGCTCTGAGCGTCCGACGCTGTCATGTCTGACTCTGCTACGTCGGAATGCACGTCCATGTAGCTTGAAGAAGCTGGCGTGGACTTTTCAGTGACCTGTCATCATTTGCACATAAGCAAGACAGGCCGAAGCTTTTCCTGTGTTAACACGAAACTACTGAAGTTACCGGCTGTTGAATACCACTGCACTGCTTCGCCTGTGAATAGATGGGGCAGCATATCAGTTCGCTCGACGAAGGACACTGATGTCGGTTTTCGTTGTGCCGAGATGGTGCTCTCGCAGAATCAGACTTTGCTTGGCCTGTTTCTTGCAGTTATGTCCTCCTCGGCGTTCCGCAGAAGCAATGCACAGCATCTGTTCGATTCATTGTTAATCCAAAGGCCGATAAGCCCACCAGCGGCAGAAGGAGACTTAGTCTGTCGGTGAAGCTGAACCAATTTGTCACTCAACCTGTCATAGTCTGTCCATTCTTGCAGCTGTGGGGTAGTTCATGTGGCCGGTTGGAAAGTCGGTTGTGCACGAATGGCGCAGGCGGCTGTGTACCGCAGGCTGAAAAACAGTTACGCATGTCTTGTCCCTGTTGCGTTTCCTGACACATTCTAGTGGCTCAGCCAAGCATTCGCTGCACACTGTGCAATGCAGCCGAAGCCATTTGAAGGCTCGGGCTTAGTTGATTGCTCTGAGTCTAAACAAATCTGCCAGCGGCGCTTGGTATGGCTCGTCCGGGTCTGATGCTAGCCTCGCTGAAATCGTTACCTTCGTTACTTCTCTTACGTCGACAGTTGCACTGTGTTTCAGGTTCAAAACGTTCAGCTTCCGCAAGTCCGGAACGTGGTAAGAAGCGGCGGAAGGTGGTTTTGGTGAAAGCTCAGGCCGGCTGCTTTGTTTTCTACACACTTGTCCGGTGCCTCCTGCCAGCCGCAAGTTCCAAAAGGACAGCAGTCCAGATGTGGCCCGACGGTGCGTCTGAGTGCCTCTCTCGTCTCAACCTGTCGTCGTGTCAGGCGGCAGCGGAAAAGGCACGGGTCTCTTGGTCCGAAGAAGTGTCAAAGTGCACACTTACGGCCAGGCAGCACTGAAAGAGAAGAGCGGCCGCCCCAGAAGTGCCTCTTCACAAAGCCTTGGTGGCAGTGCGACTCAGTGTGACCTGAAGTTATTGGTCTTTATCGAGTGAACAATTGAACAATGCTCAGTTAAGGCCGCCTTGCGAAATCGCCCAGACCAAAGCCATCTCCAATACCCGGCGGAACGGCAGGTGTCCACTTTAATGCTTTCTCAATTTTGCCATTACTCGATAGTTTCTACGATATCACGAAAGCTCGCGGACCGGGGCCAGTTAAGTCTTACTTTCAGCAGACAAACCAGGTCCAGAAGCCAGCGTATTAATGATGTCATCGTAGTATCAAGTTGGGCTGATTTGGCTCAGGGTTTAGGAGGTTTGGGTGTGCTGGGTTTTTAAGGTCAAGGGTTAGTGGACGGCGACTTCGGAGGTTTGCGGGCTAAGGCATGAAGGATTAGAAGGCCTGCTTCAAGGTTTGGAGCTATTTTGGTTCAGAGCTGTTGCAGGGCTTCGGGTAAGCGCGTGTTCGGGGCCTCAAGGCCAGCGATTTGGTTTGCCTTGTCCGCCACAACGACGACAAACACCACCGCCACCGCTGCCGGCAACACGACCACGAAGAGAACGACGAGCATAGCTCAATACAGTAATGTCCCGAAACACTTTACCGTACAGTATGATGCAGTCTATTTTAAGATCTTCAAGGTGGTGGGCCTCCCAAAACAGGCAAAGCTAGGTTGATTGGTTTTTAGCAACGCGATAGCATCGTGTTCAATTTCTGGGTCATCGTTTATCTTCATTCAAGAGTCCTACGGGCTTATTCTCTACAGGACGAGCAACCTCCTGTATGTATCATGTAATGCGAGCGTTACGTTACATCTAGTCTCAGGTCAACATAGAATATTGATTATACACAAATGTATAAGACATACCGGACTGCGTGGAGATCCACGTGGCAAAATAATTCTGGTGTTGTGATTCATGGGGAAATCTCCGGCCCGTGACCGGCGGGCTTTCTGGGCGAAGCTTTTTGGCTTCTTGCGGGACCTTCCTCGCGTGCTACTGTAACGACTTCTTCGTGGCGAAGCTTGTTAGCTTTCGGGGAATCCTTCCTCCGGTCTTGCGGGACCTTCCTCGCGTGGGCTTGCACTGTTGTTGTTTTGTTTTTTCGTTGTTCGCGGTTTGATCCTTAAGCCTTCGGGCCGGAGGTGATACCGCTTTTGGACCGGATTTTGTCCTGGTCGCACTCGACTCCACTTCTTCGTAGTAGTAGTAGTAGTAGTAGTAGTAGTAGTAGTAGTCGTCGTAGTCGTAGTGGTGGCAGTGGTGGTGGTGGTGGTGGTGGTCGTGGTCGTTGTAGTGGCAGTGGCAGTGGCAGTGGGAGTGGTAGTTGTGGCGGTGGCGGTGGTGGTAGTAGTAGTAGTAGTAGTAGTAGTAGCAGTAGTAGTAGTAGTAGTAGTAGTAGTAGTAGTGGTGGTAGTACTGCTACAACGACAACAACAACTATTCTTTTTGCGCCCCGGCGAATAAACTTAAATCTCTCTGTCTCTGAGCTTTCGTTGTCCATGTCCTGCCGTCAAGTTCTGCACAGCCGGAAGGACGAATCCTGGAATGGCTGGGACATTCGCAGCGCCCAGACCGTTTCTTGACAGCATGGTGGGTTGAGGGTTGATGGACAGTGGTCGGAAGCGCCTTTCCCCACGCAAGGCTTCAACACGGAGCGGGTAGAGCTGCAGGCCTCGCTGGAGCTTATTATTTGGCTGCGGCTTGACCCTTTCACGGCAAGGCCCCAGCACAGCTTGCGCCCAAAGCCCGTGCGGGGCCAATGATCGAGCATTTTTTCGCGGCTCGAAGCAAATTAGGAGATTCTCCACTCAGGATCTCCGGAGGTGAGCCGTCTAAAACCAGGCATGGCAGCCTGGTAGGATGCCTGTGAGGGATTGTTGCATGTGAGCAATCCTGTGCAGCTCCGCGAGTGGATGCCGCAGCGACCGATGATTCCGAATCATCCGCCACAGAGAGCAGGACCAACTCACATCTGGGCGCGTGGTTTACATTTGGTGGCACCATTGACAGGAGTAGCAGCCCATCTCGAAGTCCTTCTCCAATTATGGCACCGGCCGTCGTCTGTTGCTGAGCATACTAACGGCAGCACGTGTTGAGACTTACGCGAGCATAAGCAGCATGGTTGATGTGAGCCGACAGCGGATGCCAGCCGCAAAGTATTCAAGCTCGATGTAAGTTACTGTTCAAACAAGGCAACAGAACCTGAGCATGAGATGGTGTACCCAACCTAAGTGGAACAGCGGATGGCCGGTGATGAAGTGCTGATTGAGCTTCATGGTTTCGGGGTGATATGTGAGATCACCCTTCACCCTTTAATGCTGCACGCACAAATCTGGCTCTCACATGGAATCGCTGCATCGTGATTTTATTGTGGTTTTATTGACATCGTGCCTCTCTGAGGGGGACAAAATCGCAAACACTGTCCTGCATAACCTTTGTATCGGGGCTTGCTGTGGTTTGAGCACTTGATGGCACGGCTTGGTTGCCGCTCGGGCGAGCATATCTATACCTTGACATTGGCATTCTGGAAGCTGGGCCTTTGTACTTGTGGCGAGAATCTTTGGGCATAGGCGAGCGGCGGGGTGGCGAGGGCAGGTGTACAACGGCAGCGCCATTGTTAACAGATCAAAGCTCGAGAGCTACCTAGACAGTGATTTACAAAAGGTTGGTGCAGTCTTGCCGCGCGTAATCTTGGGTTACTGACTTTTCTGACTTCAAGATCTCTGCCAAACTGCGACTTGCCTCGAGCGTGTGCTTTCAGGATAAGAGCTGATAAACGCTCGTCTTGAAAATGGAGCCGCGCGATTCGGCTCTTTGTTTGAGGCTGGTCTGATGCCGTTCTACGGCATATTGATTTCTTTGTGAAATTCAACATTCTGCAGCTGCGACGGTGCATAGCAAATTTTGGCGTGCGACTCAGTGTTTCCACCTCCCCAGCCCGCCAGTCCTCTGTGTTTCCACCTTCCCGAGTCTGCATTCTTGGCTCTACAAATCTCTACGATTATGACGTTTCGATAGGCCTGACAAGAGGTGGTTGGAAATACTTTCTTTTACGAGGAAGATAGGACTTTGTTAAGAATCGGGAATATCTGAGTTTAGGGAAGAAGGTGCGATCAACAGGAACGCACAGTATTGGGTGGAGAATGAACAATTGTCTGTGGTGTTGAAACATAAGGGAAAACGTAGGGAAGACTAGGGATGGGATTCGGTCGAAAATGAACGATTCATTGGTTCGTGCATCGAAACTGTGGGTTTCGCATGAACATGTATTTTCCTATTTCGAATCGGACACATGGTGTTGTTCAAAATGAACAAGTTGCTGTGCTTTTTCGATTCCTGCATCGGTAACCCAGGGTTTCGCCTCGAAATCCTGTTTGAATCTTGTGTCCTCCGGTTTTCCTTACTCAGGAGAAATATGGGTGAAAAATAGGAAACACATACTGTCGGGAAAATTAGGGAAACACGAGGATTAGAATAAGATGCCGGGTTTTGTCGCAAACGAATCATTTTCGGTGTTTTTTTGATGTTTGTTCCCTGCATCTTAGTGCGGGGTTCTTAATTTTTAGGGCTGTCGTCCGCCAGCCCGCCCATCCTCCCGCCTCCCGCCTCCCGCCTCCCGCCTCCCGCCTCCCGCCTCCCGCCTCCCGCCTCCCGCCTCCCGCCTCCCGCCTCCCGCCTCCGCCCGCCTCTTTCTTTCTCCCACACACACATGCACAAACACACATACATACACATACATACACATGCA